TACCGATTCCACCGTTTTTTTGGTTACTATCACGAATTGCCGACTGCTTCGAACAAGCCGGGTGGTGATGGCTCAGTGGTTTAATCGCTATCGCCGGCGTGCTCTAGACCCTGTGGTCCGAGGTTCGAGCCCCGCGACCGCCACCCAGCTTTGGTGGTGGGCAGCTTTGTCGTCACCCGGTTCCATACCATACCGGACATACCGGGGCCTTATGTGGTTCGCCACTCAGCCCCGAGGCTTAGGTTGCAGGTTACCATCACTGAACGGCAGGTTTTCGTGACCATGGGGTCCGCCCCGTTTGCTGTTAATCGGACTCTGGTATGTAATAAAAAACCAGCCAGACATTGATGCTCGCCTAACTGATCTAGTCAAATCACCGCGACAGACCAGAGAACAATATACAGATGGCCGGACTGTCGTGTTCCAGTCACAGTCGGAATGATCCTATATTTACCTGGTACTCTTTCTTAGCAAAAGAATGGTAAGTTATGCATTTCTTAATTACGGCTGTCTCATTCCATCGAAGATCAACTTAGTGCATCTGGTACTAGCAAAATTAAAAGGAATAGACCGCGAGTCTCTACAATCTTAGCGCGCACTTTATACATCCCACTGAACGCTTATTTCCTCACTGTGCACAATGCAACAATGATAGTGTTAAATTGGCTGTTTCGCATTATGATGCGCCGTAATCTCCCGTACCACGAAGATCTGTTTTAAGTGGCATGTTAATGTTCTTCAGATCGGTTGTGATGCGTCGCGCAAACTGAGATTATGGAAATTAAGAAAAGATCATGAGTACCTTTTCCGCCGTTCCTCCCTGTTGCTATCGCCACCACCACAGACTTGAATCCAGCACTGATTTCCACATTCCTCATCTGTATGGCGAGTGATTTTAACCAGCAAAATGCGATCACAAATCAACTGGTACTAACATTTCCGTTGGTTGGCCAGCCCACCATCAACTGTTTGTCTCACATTGCCGATATGATAAAGTTGAACCAGGCCACGCCCTTTGACTGGTTTAGTAACCAGCTCAATTGATAGTAGTCAGTCCCACTCGTATTTGTTTATCCGTAACGCATTCGCTAAATTACTGGCACTTAAATCAGCTTGTAGTGCAGTGAGGAAAGCGGAGGTGCGTGCTGGAGTATGCGACCCGTGATTCGCGGTTCTGTGCGTGTGCCAACTGAGGTTGTATTTCGGTCGTATACTCCAGATGGGATCATTTGGGTGGTGGCGGCTCAATGGTTTAGTCTCTGACCCCGGTGTGTTTTGGATCCTATAATCCGAGGTTCGAGGTTCCGAGGTTCCGCCACCACCACTACCCAAATTTGGGGGTAGACAGCTTTGCTGTGGCCCGGATCTATACCACCCCTGACATAGCGGGGTCTTATGTGGTTCACCACTCCAAATCTCGGGGCTTTGGTTACGGCATTCCATCATTGAACAACAGATCCCCGTGACTGTGGCGTTTGCCCCGTCCGCTGTTGATCACACTTAGGTGTCTTATAAAAAATTACCTTACGGAAACGAGTTCTGATAACCGATTGCTCACTTTGCTTGAAGGCCTGCTGTGAATCGAATCCAATTCTGCACTCTTATCGCAATTCAATTTGTCGAAGTATCATAGCAAGTTTTCCAGGTAACATTTCAAGCTATCTCGTTGGCCTCGTCACAGTTACCAAGTCCAGGTAATGCTCCAGCATCATAGCGAGGCCTGAATGATCGGAATTCAGCACAGATTTCTCAATCTCTCTTCAGAGCGCGTAGGGAAGCAGTCTTGCCACGTGCCCCAGACCCGGAAACCCAAATTCCCGTGGCATACCTCGACCGTTCCCTAACACGTACGTGTACCCACCACTATGTGTGTGTGCGTCTGTGTGGCCTCGCCTCCCTGAAACATTGGATCAAACCATTTTCCACTGGTACCGGTGGATAATGGTCAACCGATATTGGTATCCTGATTCACATTCAGTTTGTGTGCCGCT